ACTTTTAAAGCAATTTTGTTGTCAAACACATTAAAATTTCTTGTGGTTAGTTTTTGATGGTCTTTATAAAAAACTGGCTTTTTTAACTACAGTTATACACAGTTGTTTAAACGTAAATTCAATGAGTTTCATCTGAAACCGTTTTGCGGTTTGATTATCAGTTTTTAAGGAAAACATTCTTCAGTAGTTATAGCGTAGTTAGTAAGCTTTGCTATCAGTATTTAAAAGTTTGAAAATACGGTCAGTTATTGATTAAATTCTCAACCTATTGTAATTTATTCATTGATAACTGTACTTTTAGAAAATGGGAGAATTTACATTTAATTTTTTTTGCCAGACTTAAAGTTCTTTCTCAAATGTTCTTTTGTTTTTGGAGACCTGAAATTGACTTTGTCACTGTTGCAACTGGAAGTCACTAGTTTTAGGAAATTGTTGGTAAGTGTAGTATTTATAGCGGAGATATGCAGTTACAGGTATACCAGTTTTAGCCTGTTTGGCTTTTATAAGGACCGTAGTAGCACACTTGATGAAAGTCGAGTTTCTTATATCAAAATTGGAAAAAGAGGATTCTAAGAAATTTCTTGTTTACACATTAGTCTAAAAAATCATTAAAAATAATACTGAGAGACATAATTAGACTGTTCAAAGGAAACAAACATTACTGATCGAAATAGTTTGGGAACAAATGTATAATAGCAGATAAGGTCAAATGATTGAATGATAGCTGTTGACTACCAAAAAAAAAAAAAAAAGATAATTTAAAAAAAAACTTTAGAAAAAACTTAGTTAAAAAGTTGTAACTTGCTAATTAAGTGATGAAAATTTGAAGAAAATTTTGATATTAAAAAATGGTTACATCTTAGCTTATTTCACTCACAATTTTTCTTGGACGTTACATTTTATTAGTAGGTTTGTTTATAGCCAGTGCTTAGAATGTTTTTCTGGGCACCAACAGCATTAAAAAGCCAATACGGTAAATAGACTTGGGAAAAAGTATTGCTTTCTGTTTGTTTAATTCAGGGTTCCGGATTCTTCCTTTACTTTGTTTTTTTAAACTAACATAATGAATGAATTAATTTTGACAGGAAGGAAGTAAAAAGGGAAAATAGAAATTAATTTTTCTTTCTATTTATTTTAAACCTCTTCTTTGTCTTTTCGTCCTCATTTCAAAATTTTTTGCCAAGAAAATTAGAGTGGAAAAACGAGTTTTTTTTGAACAGAAAGTAAAGTTTAAAGATTAAAACAAAACGACCAAGAAAACTTAGAAGGGGAAAGGAAGGCGGGAAAGAAGATAATGAAGAGATGGAGAAGGAAAGGAGAAGGAAAGACTATGTTAATTGTCTGCAGTAACAGTCATAATCTAAGGTGTGATTGGCATAATTCTTCTCTGTATTTTTACGGTATTCACAGCAGCTGCAAATTCCTCTGACTTAGCAGAAAATATTGCGGAAAATTGGTTAACATAGCAGTCAATTGTTTTATTCATATTCCTCTATTAACCAACTAAAAGCGGAAATTGCTGCAGCATTACCTGCCCCTTCTCTTCGTTGTAGAGCCTATATCTTAAAAGAAAAAAAAAATGAATAATTGAATAGATAAAGAAAATTGTACAGAACAGAGACTGCTACAAAAAATATTTAAGAGCCAAAGAAAGGTATAGAAAAAAACTTTTTTTTTTTTACATTTTTCTTCTAGATTTATTGTACAAATGAACTGTTATAGCATTTGAATTTCTAGAAACACTGACATAATGGTTATTCATACTTGATTAACCATTGTCATCAATTTTTTAAGTGGTTCATTTCTTTCGTCGCAAATGTATTCACGGCAAAAGAAAGTTATATGGTTCCATTATCTGTTTAAGAGTAATTATGATTTTTCAGTCTTGTAAACTGTGCTCATATTTCTGTTGGGAAAAATTCCTCTAACTTTTGTATTTGTCAGTATACTGAACTAAACACTTCTTAAACGAAAAATGAATTTTCTTTTTTTTGTTATCACTCTTTTCTTTATACACAATACTTCGACTGGTGCTCAATGTTCACAGTTGTTTCAATATTCCATTAAAAATTCAGTAAACGGTTTGGTGCAAAATTAGTGAGATACGTGAAAAAATCTTTATATAATAGCGCTAATTTTGTTAATTTTTTTAACCAATTATAATTACCATATTATTTTGAATTACTGATGTCTGACGGGTAGATGAAAACAAAACATGTAAATTTTTTTGTTGAACAACTTTTCTGATAACATTTAGTTTTTGAAGTCGTAGATTCAAGTCTTCTTTTTTGTTATCAGACCGCTGCTAACAGCAATTTGCAGACAGAAGTAGGGGTGATTGTATTGACCGCAGTCGTTGAACTGAAACAGAGAATCAAGCGCACTTTTAAGTGTGAATTCGGCATTGAATCACAAAAATTTTTTGTGTGTAGAATAAGGTTTAATGCTGCCGTCCAAAATTATTGAAAGTATACAACAAAAATTAAATCAGCATTTTGTTTGTTTATACTTGGTTTTTTTTTCCTCCCTCTTATTTATACAGTGTGCATTTGAATAGAGAATCGCTTACTATAAACTCTCCAGAAAATTCATTTTTTTTTGCACTTTTATAAAGACATATTTAGCTACGCCAGTAATTTGTTAAGTTATATTTCTGTATATCGATAACAGAATTAAAGATGTTTAAAAATGCAATATAATAATACTTCAACTTGGGGATGACGTCTGCAGCTGTTGTCACAGTTGAAAAGTGTTATTTTGCAAAAATAAATTAGCAAGAATGAAGATGGTGCATGTTGTTGATCGCTTTAGTCAACGTTTTACGATGCCGTCTTCGGTTCAGAGTTTGTTGCCTGAACTCTGCTGCCAGTTTTTCGACGTCTTTGGAGTAACAAATGATTTGCCGGATACAGCTACACATGTCGATGTATGTCTTGTTCATATTTGCTGGTCATTTTTGACAAAACTGTAGCGACGACTTTTATTAATTATACGCTATTTTGTTTCTTTTTTTTTTTACACTGAAAAAAGTCATTTTTTACTGAAATAAATGTTGAGAAACTGAGAGTTGTGTAAAAAGTTTTACAAAAAAAAAAAGAACTAAGCAGTTTTCTTATTACGGTGATTGATTCTGATTTCTCTTTTCTACTTTTGGTTCTTTTTTGTTTCTGCTTTTAATTTTTTTTTTTT